GCTGGGACACAGCTGTCCTAGGAGGGGAGGACTGAGGGAACCAGGGCAGGCTCATTTGGAAAAAAAAGACGTTGAGTTTGTTCCCTTGATAAATACGGCCAGTGCGTTCGGCACTGTCCTATGGATTCGACCAGAACCAGCCCTGGGAAGGGGACCCAAGAGCCCGGCCCGGCCCTGCCTCAGGACAGCAGCCCTCACCCCCGAGGTGAGACGCCGTTTCAGAAGGGGGCTTGGGGAGAGGGAACAGGACTGGGGGGGGGGGGGGTGGAATCAATGTGGAGACAGGAGCAAAGGGGATGCCACGGGCTAAGGCGCCTTCCTGACTTCCCCGGAGCGGCACCCCTACAGTGGGCCTCCCCTGCTTTGCAAGGACCCGTCGGGGAGGCCAAATGCATGTTTGAGGCACAGTCTGGGCTCACACGTCTCCTTGCACCAGCTGCCTCTGTCCCAGGGGGAGCTCAGCATCCCTCCCGGGCTGCTCATCCCTGCAGGGAGCACCCAAAGCACCTGCCTCTCCGCCTCTGAGACCGCCCCTGTCCTCTGGCCAGACCCGCCACCACGGCCCTCTGTCCCTCAGCCGCCCGGGTCTCGGTGAATGGCCCCGTCCACACTGAAAACTCTCCATGCGTTTCTTTTAAAACCTTTTATTCAATAATATATACTTTTTAAAATTATAATATGTAACTGCCCATCATGCCACGTCAGCCCCCACGCTGAGAACCGGGCGGCTCCGGTGTCCAGGGGCGCGGCTGGGGAGGGGGGGGGGGGGGGGGGAAGCAACAGGAACCAACAACCATTCCGCATACCCTTCACATTTCCCATGCTTTCTGGGCCAGGAGGAAGCCAACCGGAAGCCAAAGGCGTGGGAACCTTCTACATTCGGAAGTGAGGTTTGATCTACGGAGGCGGGCTGCCTGCCCTTCAGCTCGTCTAGTTCGTGCTCGCCAAGCCCGCCACTGTGTGTGTCTGCTCACGGCACGTGATCCCTCTACACACGTTAAAGGCGTTTGATTTGGTTCTCGTTCTGCTTATGGAAAAGTGAGAGGAACCGCAACAGACCTGGGGAGAGACGGGAGGAGGGGAAAGACGCGTTAATCGATCTGGCCGGGCCTCCCTGGCCCGTGGCTCCCTCCCGGAGCGGGCTGGGGAGCGTGAGCAAGCTGGCCTGTCCACACCTCCTCCTCTGATGCCCATCGAGAGGCAGTCTCTGCTCGGCCTCCTGTGAGAGCGAGGGGGAAGGTCTGGACCCCACGGGGGTGACCAAGTCTCTTCCCCTCCTCGCAGGTCCGGGACGCTGACCGTCCTGTGGGATCTAGCTACAAGGTGTGCAGGCGGCTGGCGCCCCATCAGGCCTGATCCAAGCTACTGAAGTCAGCGTGGGGCTGAGCTAGAGGACTGGCTTTCTCTGAATGACAGAGGAGGGGCCACATCCACTAAAAAAGGGAACTGGCTCACACAGGGGTGAGCCAAGGAGGGTGACAGCTGTTCGTGTGGAAAGACATGCAGGTTAGGGTTCCTAGGAGAGCTTTTACCAACTCCAAAGGAGGGCACAATGGCAGAGTGCTCACAACTGCAAACCTGCATGTGCCCGCCCTGTGTCCTTAACTCTCCCCTGGAATCGTGGCCTGAAAACTGCTCCTCCTCCATGTCCAGAGCAGTGGGGAGGGAGGGAGATGCCAGCAGAACCTCGGAGACTCAGGATGGTACCTCAGCCCGAGGGGAAGGCCTGCGCCCCCGGGCGGCGGTCACGGGAACACGGGTCCCTGGGCCCGGGGCACAGAGCTCTGCTGCCCAGAATGAGAGGCCGCGTGGCGCACACGGGGAAGAGATTCGTTTGCCTTTCAGCGCTCCAGAAACTGATTTCCGAGCATCCAACTCCACAGAGGGCCCAGGCGGGGAGAGAAAGAACATTCATTCAAGACACCACCACCTGCCAAACAGCAAGAACGGGCTGGGGAGGCGTTTGAAACGCAGAGCACTGCCGTGACGGCTCAGGTTGTGGAAGGGAACAGGTCAGCCCCAAGAAGCGGGGTCTGGGGGATGCAGCTCAGAAGCGGGAATCGAGAACCAGCAGTATGTCCCCTCGCCGACACGCCTCCTGCCGTCTCTGCAACCACCACACACATCCCTGCCGTTCCAAGTTGACCCCTTCTCTCCCCGGAGTCAGGAAAACACGGAAGGTCAGGAAGGCGGGTGACCGGCGTTTTTATTTAGGCAAAACGGGATCTCACAGCACAGAATTCGTACGCCAGCCAGCCAGGGACACACCAAGTGGCCACCCCTGGTCTGAGGTGGTCCTGTGTAAGGATCGCCGGCCAGGCAGCGCTGCTTTTTGGCCAACGGAAGGCGGGTCGGCTCCAGGGTTCTCGGTTCACCCAAGCTTTACGCGGGGCGCCAAGGTCTCTGTCCCAACCTTTTTAGTCACCATTCACAGCAAGAAAAGCCAGCGAGTGAAAAACGGTCAATTTATTGAGTCCATGAAAGTTGGGTCTTTAAAAACAATCCTCAGTACATGGGAGTTGGGGAGGTAAGGATCACATTGGTAGCACATGGTTGTCTCTACACAGAAGTACGCCGCCTGCATAGCCCATCGCCTCGGCTCACGGCCTGCGTGGGGCCGTGTCCACCAACACATCCATGTAGCTCAGAGCACTTGTCACCACTGGTTTTCTTAGCTGGTGCCTCCCCACCCCCTGCCCTCCCCGCTCCCACCCTGAAGGCAGCACGCTCCGTTCACTGACAAACTTTGGCTTCCTGTGTGTTCACGGGGACCCAGCTTTTACATTCAAAAGGGGTTTCTACCTCCATGGCTTGCCAGGTAACTACACACGCCTGCTCAGGGACAGGAGGGAAGTCTGCCCTCCCCGTGGGTGCCCACGCAGTAATGCAAGTTTCTAAGCAAACCATTTCCTCCGACCCGGCGTTAAAGGAAACTGTTAACTGAGCTCTGGATCCACATCAGTGCACGTACAAAAACTCCTCCTGCTGCTGCTCGTGTCCCAAAGTGATTCTGCTCCCGTCCTCAGCCACGCAGCACCTGGGGAGCCTGCCACTTCCCTGAGTAGCCCAGGCCGAGGCCCCGCCATCTGCCTGGGAGCGCGCCTTGTGGTCCCACTGGCACCCATCCAGGGGGCGGTGCCCGCCTCAGGGCACACCCGGAACATGACTTTTGTGCCCCTAGGTTCTCTCCCCTCAGAAGTCACATTCCCTCGAGATCGACCTTTAGACTTGTTATAGGTTCAGCTTCTCCTTTGCCAGCCCGCTGGCCCGGCCTCACCCAGCCCCCAAGGATCCCAAGCCCTGCCTTCTCCTCTAATGAATCCATCGGAGCACCTTCCCCTTTGCAAGGGAAAACACTGGCTTTGAGCCTCGTGAGTACAGATGTGCTAGAGCGTCTGTCGGGAGACCCAGCCGAGTGAGTGGCGTTTAAGTGCCCGCAGAGCTGGCATGGGCACGCGCCTCCCTGTAAGAAGGCCCACGGAGGCTTGGTCTGCACTGTGCGTGTGACGGCTGCTCCCGCCCAGCCTCCCGCCACGGGGACGGGAGGGGACCGGGCAGGCCAGCTGCTATGACCCAGGGCAGCGTGACCTGCAAGTAAACACAGGTGAAAAGATGGGCGGCTCTGCCCTCCCGGCGGCCGCCCCAGCTGGAGGAATCCCGCAGCCACGCTGGCGGTGGCGCGGCTAACACACTGCCTGCCCGTGGCCAGGTCTGTGCTCTTACACACGGGCGGTACCTGAGATGACAGTGACGCTACCCTGTCCCCACATTTTTTTTGCTTTTCTTTAAGAAATAACAAGTCCTTATCATAGGCACTTTTAACCTGTTATAAGGTAATGAAGCAAACAAAATAGCAAATGAAAATTACCGAGATGAATTAAGAAATATGCTCACTGAAAAGGACAGAGGGTGGGTAATCTACCACAGCTTAGTCTAAATAGCAGACATTCTCTCTCTCTCTCTCTCTCTCTCTCTCTCTCTCTCACACACACACACACACACACACACACACACACACACACACACCCTTTCGGGACTCTCCAGGGAAATGCCTCAGACATCAGCGGAGCCAGGTCCCAGCGGACACACCATGCTTTGGGCACAGGTTAAGAGAAAAGGTCTGGGCTGGACTCACTCGGGTTTGGGGAAGAAAACCACCTCCAGCAGCTGGTCAAGGCCAGACGAGAAAGGAGTGGGCGTTTCAAACTCCGTTCTGCAGCATGTCTAAGGCATGAAGACAGGCCAAGGACAGGTGGCAGCAAAGGAGACTGTGCATAAAGCATCGCTGCTGCCGAAACCGGTTTGGCTCAGTGGTAGAGCGTCGGTCTGCGGACTGAAAGGTCCCAGGTTCGATTCCGGTCAGGGGCATGTACCCGAGTTGCGGGCACATCCCCAGTAGGGGGTGTGCAAGAGGCAGCTGGTCGATGTTTCTCTCTCATCGACGTTTCTAGCTCTCTATATCTCTCTCTTCTCTGTAAAAAATCAATAAGATATATTTAATTAAAAAAAAAAAAGCATCGCTGCTGTCAAAGCGGCGGCCGCAGAGCCCGGGCAGGCAGGTGAGCGCCTGCACCTCCCAAGCCTCGAGCCAAGGAGAGGACAGGGAGCCGCCGGCTCTGCTCGATGCTCTCCTGCCTCGGGTGGCGCCCCACAGGTCACTACCTCGCCAAGCCCTCCTCTCGGTCCCGGCCTGGTCCACAGGCACCGTAAAGGGGAGGGAGGAGAGCATGGGGACACGGGGGCGGGGCACATCTCCCTGACAGTAAACAACAGTCCCGTGTTGCCTCAGAGGGCACGCAAGAAGCTTCTGACAACCCCAGACAGAGTTTTACTGCCCGACACGGTGATCTAGGCCCAGCCAAGAGCGCGTGCCTTGTCTTTCCTTTTCAGGCAGAGCAGACGCAGACATTAACATACAGAATGTGCAACGCAGGCAGGTAGTGGATGTACGAGAACCTTGGCGGAATTCATTTCCTGGCTTTGGGATCTTAATTCTTTTCATCTGTAAGCTCAACTCTATCAATAAGAGTTTTATTTGTATTTCAAGTTCCCGCCCACCAAATGACAAAAATAGAATCTACATTTAGAGATAGGACCTGCTACCAATACCAATATGATTTTATTGGAATATGGAATGTAAACAGATGCTTCCAAACAAACAATCTATCCTTATAAAAAGTATGGCATTATTAAATAGTTAATAAAGAAATCCTAACGTGACGTGGCGACAGACCCCTCCAGCTCCAGCCTGGCTGTGCGAGTCCCCGTGGCCGTGCGTGGCTCTGCAGCTGGGGTGAGGGGACCGCTTGCAGATCATGTTAACGTCAAGTCCCCCAAACGAAATCAGCGCTATTTTTACTTCTTAAAACAAAATCTAGCTTCCTTTGCTAACGTGAAGGCTGACACAGGGGCCCCAGGCTCTGCTCCCCACTCCGGGAACCCCACTTCCTCCCCCAAGGCCCTCGCCGCTTGGGCTGTGGGGGGCCCTGCCATGTACCTCCAGACCCTGCAGGCGAGACAGACTTGTCATTGCCACCACATTCACATACTGCCCATCAGAGCTTAGAGGTGCAGAGTACCCTGATTACAGCGGGGAATTACTTCTTGTGGGGATAGAAAGAGGCAAAAAGGGGGTGGGGATGGGGAGATATATTTTTCTCTTTGCCCAATAGGTCATTCCTGAATACATTCTCATAGAACCCTTTTCCTCCTTCTCCCTCCCTGACCTAAGACCGACCTCCCAGCTTTAGTTATGGTCGTGAACAAAGCATCTTTGTTTCAGAGAGATGCGTTAAAATCGGTGCACACACAGGGATGTGCTGGGAAATGGTGAGGCTTCCTTACAAGGCTGCAGACAAAAAAGAAAAAAAGAAAAAAAGGAAAAGAAAAAAAGATACACCCAAAAAAAAATAGCAACAAGATTTTATGGTTAGGCAAATCAACAAAGGTTACAGTGAGCTCCAAGTTATGCACTTAGCATCTAACTTCTGAAGACGGATGGACCTGTTCGTGGCATCACAGGGTTTAAAGTGACGTCTGCCGACACCCGAGAGGACTCATGAGAGGACTGCAGTTTGCTCCCAAATTAATACGCTTAGAGGAAACTGCAGGGCTGAGGTACATTTCCTAGAGAGCTCATGTCATAAAAAAATACATAAAACATGGATTTGTAAAAGAGTTAAAAAAAAATACTGTCGCTGTTTTAATATCTCCTGTTCGTGAGTGAGGCTGGTGTGTCAGTACAGGCTGCTGACGGGCAGCTAAACTGGAGCCTGAATCTCACCCGAGGAAACCAGACCACAGTGGAATAGACAGGAAGTCAGATAGTCAGAGCTGGTTGACCGAACGAGTTAATTCAACAGTGGTCCCCTGTGAGACACAGGTGAGCGTACAACTCCGAGTCTCCCGTCTCCCGTGCATTCCACAGGGAGAGGCCCCTCAGATCCTCAACTAGGTGCGGCGTCTCGCTCGCTGCCGGAGCGTCAGCGCCCTGGAGACTAGGACTGGGGAGTTTCTTTCTTTTTGACAGACTTTTAGGTCTTTACTCTTCTTTGCGTTTAGAAGGAATGACTAGAATTTCTTTGTATCACACTGGAGTTTTCCTTCAAGGTTTGTGTTGGGTTGGTCGGTTTTATTGGCAAGCATCAATGCCGCATTACCCGTCGCTTTCCAGTCTTCATCGGGCCGCCGTGAGACCACTGGAAAGTACAGCGTTGTCCGCGCTGGGCTGGGACTGCTCCTTCACCACGGGGTCTGCAAGGCAAAGGGCCAGGTCAGCGAGGCTGGGCGGCGAGGGAGGGAACATCACACCGAGCCCGCCTTCCACCGTGAGCCAGAGGACACGCGGCGGGAAAGGCAGGACCAGGCGGGCGAGGGAAATGGCAGCATATGGTTATAGAAGAACGAGGTAATGAAAAACCATCAGGGTGAGCACTCTTACTTCCTCAGAGTCAAGTTCAATGACTCAGACTCACGAAGAGTGGCACAGACTCATCTCCCACTGCTCAAATGTCTCATTTTCTTATGTGCTATTTTCCTCGAATACTAACATCATACCCAACTCCCAATTTCTTCAATGCATGCACAATAACAAGCACTTCAGAGAAAAGGGTGAATAAAAAGAGCTATTAGACCTAATCATTTTGCTCGGTCTGTATGGCTCAGTGGGTAAGTGTCGACCTATGAACCAGGAGGTCATCATTCGATTCCCAGTCGGGGCACATGCCCAGGCTGCGGGCTGGATCCCCAGCGTGGGGTGTGCAGGAGGCAGCCGATCAATGATTCTCTCTCATCACTGATGTTTCTGTCTCTCCCCATCTCCGTTCCTCTCTGAAATCAAATTACACATTGTAAACATCTAAATTCAGTGCTCTGAATTCCGCCAACTCAAAGGGTATAGATAGATTTCTGTGGCCTGGACCACTGAAGGGCGAGACCTTTCAAATTCACTGTCTACTGATGCTTATGGGCCAATAGGTTCCAAGACCACAGAGTGATGTCAACTCCAGGCAAGTTTCAGTTAATTGCAGAGGGAAAAAGAAGGAAAGATGGCATATTAGTCAAGCAACAGTTAGGCTGAAAGTGTTGGTCGATTCACACAGTGAACTGACACAGGTCACTTAACCCCCGTTATTCTCGGTCTCCTCTGACTAGCTTAAACCAGCCCACACTGCTGAGAATAAAGTATGACATGTGCCTTATCAGTGCGGCTGCACGCGTGCAGAACAAGCAGCTACGTAAATGGAATTTATGCACATCCTCTGATGTTAATAATTCAGATAGAATTTTAGTGAGGTCTTTTCATACCTGCTTTCCTTTCCGCAAATTTTAAACTTATTTCCTTCTTTAAAAATGTACTAAGTTACATTATTTTCAACTCATTACTCGTTTTTCTGTGTGTGCTGGTAGAGGGGGGTAGGGGGGTAATATCTTTTATTAGTTTTCAAGAAAAAAGTATATATTTTATAATCTACCAACTCAGTCACGGGGAATGCTCTAACACAGCGGTCGACCACCTTTCTGACCTCATGGATCACTAGTCCGAGGACCACCGACTGGCGACTGCTGGTCTAACAGACCAGACTCGAGGGAGCTCCGAGCAAATACCTCCGGGACCAAGCAGCAGACCGGCCAAGTTGTCTCAATGGTTTAGAGCTAAGGAGGCCAAATTCCAACGGCATTGATTCAAATACCTAGAATTCCCTTGACCGGCCTCAAAGATAAAGGGTGCAAGGACTTTTCCTTTAAAAAAAAAAATGAGGCCCCTGCAAAGCGCGGGAGACTCACAGAAGTACGGGTGCTCCATGGCCTCTTTGGCAGTCAGTCTCTGCTGATGGTCGTATCGCAGAAGCTTGTCGAGAAGGTCTAGGGCCTCGGGGCTGACGAGGTGTCTGTTCTCACTATGTATAAAGTTTTCCCAGCGTTTCCGTGAATGTCTGAGAAGAAAGGGGAGTATTAGCATTCTGAAACGAGGTTCAGGAAGATGCTTGTGTAGTGGGGCCAAAATCAGAGAGGACGGCACTAGTTACAAACTCCTCAAATCTCATTCTGGCCGTCTGCCCCACCCCTATAGCCCCGATCCCAGCCAGTGCACTTGCTAACATCCGTGTGATCCTCAAGCAAAACGGCGCTCCATGACTGATGCGTGAGTTAAAGACATTTACATCTGATTCGGATGTAAAAGATTTAGATGGCTTTGGTGAATTCTGGGCGAGGCACAGAGGTGACTGGGTAGTTGTTATCACTTCGTCATTATATTTAGAGCTGCGGGCCTTAGGAACATGGGTCTCATAAAATACCATTGGAAAAATGTCAACACATTTACTTTTCAAAACTATGTGAAAACAGGCTTTAAAATTACCTTATAAATAACCCATTACAGAGAACAAAAGAAATGGTTTCTTATTCCAAGAATCACAGCTTCCTAAGATTTTTTCCATTAAAATAAGCTTATGCTAAGCCAAAAAAAACTTCTTTTCCGTAACAGTTTTCTATTGATAAGCGGACTGTCTTTTAGAAAAGTAAATTAGAAGACACATGTAAACAGTGTCCAAATATTTCAAAGTAAGAAATGCACGGGGTGGGGTGAGGAGAAGGCTACTTGACTTTGATACAATTAGAAAGGGCAGGAGAGTGATTGTGCCAACCATTCCACTTCCACAGGGGGGTGAGTTAACGCCCGCCCCTCCTCCCCTGACTTACTGTCCCAGGATATCGTTGAAGTGCGGGTCTAGGTCTATGTGATACTTCTTCAGATACCCGTACAGCTCATCGGTACCCAGGACCTTGGCAATGCGAACAAGCTGCAACACAAACAAACTGACCCAATCACCACGCACAGAACTCCCTGTGCGCCCAGGAGGACGCTGGGACAGGGAGCCAAAGACTTCCCCAGGGAACAGGCGCAGACCCACGCTGGGGAGGACTGGGGACACCGAGAGAGAGCCAGGGGCTCAAGGACAGCACCCCATGAAGGATGCTGCTTTCCTGGCATCTGCCCCCCAAATGGATATGAGCCAGATGGTGTTCGCTCACCTGGTCATAGTTGTCCTGTCCATGGAAGAAGGGTTCCTTCCGAAAGATCATGCTCGCTAACATACAGCCCAAACTCCACATGTCCAAGCTATAATCATACATCTGAGGAAATAAGGACAAGCAGTCAGTCACGGGTGCTCCATTTTCCTGAGCCAAAAAAAAAAAAAGAGGTAGCCACAGAAAATCAGCAATGATCGTTCTGGGATGGAACAAAGACCAGGCTTTGAATGTATCCAAATTGACTCAGTAAAAACCAAGAAGCCCGGCCGGGTGGTTCAGTGGTTGAGCATTGACCTATGAACCAGGAGGTCACGGTTTGATTCCCTGTCAAGGCACATGCCTGGGTTGCAGGCTCAATTCCCAATAGCAGACATGCAGGAGGCAGCCGATCAATGACTCTCTGTCATCATTGATACTTCTCTCTCTCTCTCTCTCTCTCTTTCCCCCCACCCCCTTCCTCTCTGAAATCAATTAAAATATGTTTTAAACAACAGGAGCCAAAACCAGTTTGGCTCAATGGATATAGCATTGGTCTGTGGACTGACGGGTCCCAGGTTCGATTCCGGTCAAGAGCATGTACATTGGTTGTGGGCACACCCCCAGTAGGTGGTGTGCAGAAAGCAGCTGGTGGATGTTTCTCATCGATGTTTCTAGCTCTCTATCCCTCTCCCTTCCTCTCTGTAAAAAATCAATAAATTAAAAAAACAACAGAACAAAAAACACCACCACAAAAAAACAGAGAAAAGGAGAAGCCCCAAGGAAACGCACAGCCCGGCCGGTCACGTACCTGGTAGTCCACGAGGAGCTCCGGGCCCTTGAAGTACCTGGAGGCCACGCGGACGTTGTACTCCTGAGCGGGATGGTAGAACTCGGCCAGGCCCCAGTCTATCAGTCGCAGCTACACACACACACACACACACACACACACAAACAGGAAGAAAACAGGTGAACGGAGTGTTCCTAGATGCCTGTGCCTTAGACCCGGGCCACACCTCGCCTAACGGTAATTATTTGGCCTTATAAAAAATGTTAGCAAGTGCACTGGCAAAAAAACCTGTGCTTTCACTAACTGTGGAAAAGGCCATTTCTGAGCACAGCACTCAGAATCGTATTTGCTTTTTCTTTTTTTTTAATTTAAATTATCCTGGTTTTTTCTCTTGAGGTCAATAGAGCTTAAGCTTCTCTCTGACTCCATATAACCCGTATGTGCAACACATGCCCCATCATCAACAGCTTTCGTTATAAGCTGTAGTCATAACAGAAAGGAGCGGGGTACGTGCCCCATTCCACTCTCGCTTCTCATTAATCTACTAGGCCCGTGGTCAGCAAACTGCGGCTCACGAGCCACATGCGGCTCTTTGGCCCCTTGAGTGTGGCTCTTCCACAAAATTCCACAGCCTGGGCGAGTCTATTTTGAAGAAGTGGCATTAGAGGAAGTTTAAGTTTAAAAATGTGGCTCTCAAAAAAAATTTCAATCCTTGTGCTGTTGATATTTGGCACTGTTGACTAATGAGTTTGCCGACCACTGTATTAGGTGATTCATTTACTCACCAATTAGGGACAACCAGAATTGGGCATTGAAAATAAGAGGGATCAATGGTATTTTTAAGGCCAGGCAGATTGGTCTGAGGGGTCCTTAGGCAGTAGAAACCATCAGCTGAGCCCCCCAGAAAACCATGACCACAATAAACAAGGGAGTACAGCTGCTCTCCTTGTGACCACACTTATGCTAAGTAGGAACCCTCACTGGGAGACTGGGAAATAACAGCATCACCCACCAGTCTGCCCAAGAGAGCAGCACGGGTCTCCAGAAACCACCTCAGTACTGGCCAGGGGTGGTGTACACCTTCCGATGGAAGGCCGTGGCCGCCTAGCTGGTATGTACCTTTTTCTGTTGGTGATCTATCATGACATTGTGAGGTTTCACGTCCCTGTGCATGATTCCCTTGCTGTGGCAGTAATCCAGGGCCTATGAGGTAAGAAAGCAGAGAGAAAGGTAAGCAAACCCGCTACCGCACCCACATTGCAATCATATCGGCATTTGCTTGTGACAGCTCGACTGGGATCGTCTCCCCGGGGTCGGCTTACTGTCTGTAACAAAAGAGAAAAGACCGGCCTCAGGGGCAGCCTGCTCTCCGCACACCGCTGGCCACGGGCTAAGAGGCGACATCAAGGCTTTGATGGCGGTTTCTCAAAATGGGGGCGATGAGCCATGGCTGGTTTGACTCAACTGTAAGAGTATCAACCTGTGCATTGAAGGGTCAAGGGTTCAATTCCTGCATGTACCTGGGTTGCAGGTTCCATGTTTCTCTCTCTCCCTCTCCACCCCGTCCCTCCCCACCACACTAAAAATCATTTGGGAAAAAAAAACCTTGGGGGATGATTAACAACAAACATTTAAAAAGGCTGGGGAGGGGAGGAATGTGGAACGGTATCTCCTTTCAGCCCTCCTCTCCTGCTTGCACTGGCCACCTGGGTTTAGAAACCATACACTCAACTGTTCTGACTTTATGTTTAAAATCAGACCTGGGAACCTCATTGGAGTCACCTCTCATAGTGGTTCAACGACACACAAGAGTCCACGTGGACATGAAGCATGACATCCAAATACATATTTCAGTGTGGCTTGTTTTTTAGAAAGTGTCTTATGGGGTTTTCTAGATTAACCCACATTCTAGTATTAATATTACCCTGAAAAGCAATCCCTGAGCCAGCTGGTCTTTAAGAATTATGATTATAGCCCGGCAGGTGTTGCTCAGTGGTTGAGCGTTAACCTATGAATCAGGAGGTCATGGTTTGTATCCTAGTCAAGACACATGTCCAAGTTGCGGGGACAATCCCCAGTGGGGGTGTGCAGGAGGCAGCTGATCAATGATCTCTCACATTGATGTTTCCCTTCCTCTCAAGCTTGCCTTCCCTCAACCCCCACTCCCCTCTGCCCTCTACTCCTCCTCTCTTCCTCTGCTCCCAACCACCAATCTGCTATCTGTTGCTATCATTGCCTTTTAGACATTCATAAGATAATACAATAGACAGTACTCCATCTTCACTCACTCAGATGCTGCTGAGATTTACCCATACTGCTTTTTTCTTGCTGGGTAGTATTCCACTATGTGATCGTACCAGCTGGTGGACAGTTGGGTGGTTTCCAGTTTTTGGCTCTTATGAATGAGCTACTCATGTTCATGTACATGTCTCTGAGGTGACACATGCTTTCATTTCTCTTGGGTGGATTCCAAAAGGTGGAAGTACTGGATTGCATGTACGTTTTGCATTAAGTGTTCAAACATTTGTTTCGCAGAGTAGCTGCACCATCTTACATTCCCATCAGCGTGTGAGGGTTCCAGTTCTCCACGCCCTCCGCACACCTGTCGTTGCCCACTTTTTATTATGGCCGTTCGGTGGGTCTGCAGCAGAATCTCACTGCAGTTTTGATTTGTATTTCCCTAATGAGCGGTCAAGTTGAATGTCTTTCCTTGTGCTTATTTGTCAGCCTTTATCTTTGTTGGACAAATGTTGACTCAAATCTTTCATCCACTTTTTATTTGGGTTGTTCTTGTTTTATTCATTTGTTTAGTTTCCCCGTGTCCCAGGGCTTGAGGATAGAACCGGCGGACTGGAAACCACCGGCACCGAAGACTTGCCGCCAGGGGGCGGGCGCCCCTAACCCTCTGCTCCACATATAACGGAGCCTGGGACCGCACACAGACCCCGCCAAGACGAGGAGGGTTGTTTTGTTTTAAATTTTAAAAAAAAGTTTTTGCTCCCGAATCTCCCTTTTCTTCTGCAATATAACTATTTTCATGAAATTCAATAGTAGGCCCTTTGGCTTGTCTTAAAAGCACTTGAAGCCTGCCTGAGTCCCGTCATATCCTCCTTGAGTGATAATGACAGCAGCCCAGAGTCTCAGAGGGCCTACTATGTGCCTGGCTCTGAGGGCTCCTGGTGGAGTTTTCCCTGGGAGAGGATGAGGGTTTCTCAGCTTTGGTGCTGTGGGCATTTGGACAGGAATTCTTTGTTGCGGGGAGCTGCCCTGCAAACTGTAGGTGGTCAGTCAGGCAGGATTCCCACTACATACCTGATCACAAAACGCTCTCCAACTGTGAAAACCAAAGACCGTGCCAGACTGCCAGGTGACCTGGAGTCTGAAGCGGACTCGACTGAGAACCACTGGCCTAGACTAGCAAGGGCACTATCCCAGGCACCCCTGTGTGGGAGGGAAGCCAGAGGCCAGGGAATGGTCCCTAGCACCAGCATTCCAGGTATAAGCCAATTTTCCTTTCCCTAGACACAAAGAGAATACAGTGTCCGGTGCTTTTTATATTAGGTCAAAAACAGGCAAAACTAAACTGTGGTGACTGCCCTGGCCAGGTAGCTCAGTTGGTTAGAGCATCATCCCAATACAGCAAGGTTGTGGGTTCCATCCCCAGTCAGGGCACACACACAAGACTCAATCAATGAATGCATAAATAGGTGGAACAACAAAAATCGATTTTACCGTCCCGCTGCCCCTCCCCCCCTCAAAAAATAACTAAAAATACCAACTACAGTGGTAGAGGTCAGACTATAATTTTCAGAGGGGGATACTGAATACAAGGGGGACAAGAGAGCCTTAATGGGTTTTCATACCATTCCCCACCAGCCCTGTCCACCAGAACTTCCTGCGATGGAGAAACACTCCATCTCCGCACTGTCCAATACGGTCCAAAACGGTAACCATAGCCACAGGAGGCCCCTGGGTGTTTGGAATGTGAATAACAAAGCCAAGGAGTTTACTTAATTTAAATACCCATCTGCGGGCTGAATCTACTATTCTGGACAGCATAGTTCTGGGCAGGTTTGGGTAAAGGTTTCACTTAGGTAAAATCCAAAAAAAATGTACACTTAAGATTTAGTCACTTTGTTTATGTAGCTCTACTTCAATTAGATTTTCTTTTTTGTTTTGTTTTACAGCAGAGCTGTAGCAAGACTCCCGTGGCCGTGGCTGTGGCCGAGATGGACCAGGCTCCTGAGGACAGACCTCCCTCAAGTCTGAATCAGACCGACTCTGCGCAACTCGCGAGTCATGAGCAATCATGGCGGCCTTCAGCCTGTTTCTACATTTCCCAAGTTTAAACGTTGCCTCTCTCTTCTCCCTCCCTGGCCCGCCTCTCCCAGAGAGAGCATCTAGCGAGTGCTGATTCTGTTATCTTGCCTAGTCTTTGCCCAGATGAATTAGAAGCACACCTGGGCTGTGAGAATCGTCTGATGAAAGAAAACTTACGAAGGGGATTAATTCTTTTGCCAAGTTTACTGGTCAGACTCCCTGGGGAGCTACTGGCATACTTTTAAATTCCTTGGGAAATTCTTTCAGTTTTAAAATCTGGTCATTTCTGACCGCTAAGCACGAAAGAGGTTTTCCAAATGTCACCTGGGGTACTACGCCTCATCAGCAGGAAGTACCTACTGCCTAGAAAATTTCAGTCTTGGGACTGGGATGAGTAAGTCTCCCACCTGCTGCCTCTGGAAAAGAGAGGACACCACACACCGGTGCCGCCTGGATGAGCAGCGGTGTGACCTGCGTCCCTGGATGTTTGACCTGGTCTACAGGCCCCGGTGCCAGGCTTCAGTCTTACCTTCGGGGTGCTGGCCTGCCTCAAACTGTTGGTATTGTGTTTAAGCAACTATTCACAATTCCATCGAAACTCCATCTTGGCATTTTTTCAGTAAAGCTAAAACCTCCCTCACTTCTACGTTCTTCCAGGGGTTCTTAATTTGAGATCACACCCATCCTAAAACTTGAAGTAACACTGTGTACTTCACAGCACTTGTGGAGTGACCTCACTGTTTCCATCAGACTCTTAGTGCTCCACTAAAAAACTTAGGAAACATCGGCCTACTCCACTTTATAAACCTTTTTAGAATTCTTTACCTAAATGTTTACCTACCCGAACTACAGTAAGAGAGATGACTTCTCCATCCATCAGTAATGGTTGAAAATTTGTCTTGGGATTAGTAAGTCTCCCAGAAGGTCCACCCATCACTCCTCCTGCCTGTCAAAGCTAACAGCCAGGGCTAGAGGCTGGGTTGTCTCATGTAAGAAGGGGATTGTAAGAGACACAAGAAAGAGATGGCCAGGGGTGCCTGCAATCCTGGTGTGCACGTCTTCACAACGTGACCTCAATGCCCTGCCCATCGAGAGGTAGAGTCTACTTCCCACTCTTGGTCTAGGCTTAGCCACGTGACTTGTTCTGGTCAACAACTGGAAACATGACACAGAAGCGTGCTTACATGTCACTTACTCGCTTGCTGCTAGACCAGCACGGGAAGGGCCCAGACTGGTCTCCCAGGGGACGAGGCCTCCGCTGCTCCAGCTGCCCTCCAGACATGTGAACGAGAATATCCTGGACCACCCTAGACCATCCTGACCAACGGGCCCAGTTAAGCTTTCCCAGACCAAGACTCACCCAGCCAGCCCACAGAATTATGAGAAATAAGAAACTATCTGTGAAGTTGATTTGTTAGGCAGTAAAGTCAATAGCAGATATTGATTAAGCAGTGGAAGGAAAACCCCAGGGGCAGCAAGAGCTCCGAAGAGGGAGACTCTGCTCTCTGCTATGATGCCCCTGGACTTGGCCATCTCCGTCTGTTCCCCTGGAGGTCCCATGATGGAGGCCTCAAGGAAAGATACACCCCAAACAAACAAACAAAACCTCTACGTCCTCTGGGTATCAAGCAGCATCCTGCTCATTCTCTGTTCTCTCAAACACTTCCCCCTTAATGACTAATCCTGAACAGGATTCACTGTTCACGGGTGCCACTTACTTTAAGTAGTTCATACATATAAAACCGGATATCAAAGTCTGTCAGGATCTGGTAAAGTTGCTGAAACAGATTTCAGAAAACAAAGTTACGTTAGTGTCATTCCATCTTGTCATCCATATGTTGGTCATTATTCTCTGTAAACTTTAAGCAGGAGTGGCTGAGGAGGCCTAGAACTTTTTACTCCCTGACCGGCAACCAATGGGGACACAGGCTACAGAGGGTATAATGCTTCAGCCTTCCACAGGATCCCAGGGAAGAAAACCGTTTATTCCAACTGGGATCCTTTAAAAACGTGTTTTTGGTTTGGTTTGGTTTTTTAATATATATTTCTTTATTGATTTCAAAGAGGAAGGGAGAGAGAGAGACAGAAACATCAATGGTGAGTGAGAATCATTGATTGGCTGCCTCCTGCATGCTCCGCACTGGGGATTGAGCCCGCAACCCAGCCATGCGCCCCTGGCTGGAATTGAACCTGGGACCCTTTAGTCTGCAGGCCGATGCTCTATCCACTGAGCCACACCGGCTAGGGTAAAAAAACGTGTTTAATGCTCCCCGATTTCAAACCCCACAGTCACACTGCCACAGAGATGAAGACACAGGTGTCCAACTGCACTTCTATAAACCCGCCCCGTGGCTGCACGTTTGCTTAGAGCAAGAGCAGCCGCTGACCACCGTTGGGACCACTGGCTGGTGACCGCTGCAGGCACAAGACCCAGCTCTGGGGACAGGAGACCCTGAAAAACTGCACCAGCCCCCTGGGAAAACAGTGGCAAGACAGCCTGTTCGTGAAAGGAACACGAGGAAAACCAACTGCTACAGCATTTGGAAATGGCCAGACTTAAAAAATCTATACCCTCCACTCCCCCAAACCAGTTCCAGGCTGTAAAGAGAACACTTCACAGGCAATAGTGATGGGAACTAACTAAATCAATATTTTAGGGAGAAGCAAAAAGGAGAGCGGAGTGAAATGTTAAACAATGGATTCACAAATGAACATCTTCATATTAATAATCCAAAGACTGGGAGATTTTTGAAAATTTTCCATCTCTAAAAGGCAGAGTAGCATTTATGAATCCAGGTTCATTAAAACACAAACCCTTGTTGAAACTCTATTATTACTTTTGATCATCAATTCCAACATCAATTCCAAGTAGGTCTCTTTCCCCAGCAGTCCAAGCAGCACTTCTGATGGAAGTAATCAGCACACCTTTATGAAATATGTTTCGTTTCTCCTTTATTGGGAGACTTAAGCAATATAGAGAAAAGCTCTCTAGGAACAGAGAACAATGTCTGTGTAATAAAGGGGGAAGGGGGATAAAACTACATAATCGTACTTGCTTGTATCTGTAAGGATGATGAGACTAATAAAAAGTGGTTTTATGAATATGGGGGGGTGGGGAAGGATGGACATTGGGGCACAGGGGAATAAAGGAGACTTTTCCCACATACCAGTTCATAGTTTAGATATAGGCAAATACATTACCTGTTCAAAATAATTATTTTTTTATTTGCTAAAAATCTAATTTAACAACTTCTTTTTCAAATGTCCCCTTTTAAATCAGAGTGACTCTCCCTCCAGCCTAGTAAGGCTATCTGATTTCACCAAGCCCAGGCAGCAGCCAGCTCAGGCACCAGAGGGAATGAAACCATAGGTTAGAGCCCACACACCTACAGTCCACACGCCTACAGTCCACACGCCTACAGTCCACACGCCTACAGTCCACGTATCGGTGGTCCCCACTGGAGGCTGGCTGGGGATGGTCCCTACTGCACTCAGGCACAAACACCTTTGCACTATTTCTCGCGAGATTCAACTGCATAGCAGCCCAACACTCAAGTGTTTTGTTCTCCCCAGCACACCCCCAACCGGTACGTACAGAACTAGGGAAAGATACCATCTCTTTGCGTGTCAGGTCAGCTTCTCCTGTGCGAGTTAAGGAGATCACTCCCAGAGATGATGCCAAGTTGAACCTCAAGTCAATAAACAGGCCATGACAGGGAAAACAGCACTTACTACCCCTCAGAGCCTGGGATAGATTATTTCCAGAAGTGAATATGGACTATTTTAACAGCTGGGTTTTATCTGTGGAAGGTATCATGTGGTATTTATACCAAGCATCTGTGTAAATGAATGTCCTTGGTCCGCCAACATAGCATTTCCAACTACTCCAACCAATATCGATTTTATATAGTACAAAAAACACCAGTTGAATACAGTGCTTAGGCCTAACACATTCTAAGTATTGCCCTGTATCTTTTATTATGGCTTTGATACACATGAAGTGTTATACCTGATGATTTCCAGGAGAAATCAGCCAAAACAGTGCCTCTACCATAAAATGAAACACAAGGGAAAGAGTGAGGAAGGTCCTAAAGATCTGAATGAAATTACCAAACTTGATACAAAAACTGACCAGGTACTGAAGTCACAAGCATCAATCATCAACCAATTCCAAATAATAAATGTTATATGGATCAGGTTCTCTGGACACAGCACAATCAAATTAGGAATCAATAATAGAAGAATTTTTTTTTTTAAGTGGGTTCTGGATCAGATATTCACAACCATACAGCTAAAAAGGACATTCCCAGGACAGCAATCATTGGGACACCTTTGAATATGGACTCCATACTGTCTCTATCAGGTGGCATGACTGCATAAAGATTAAATTCCTTAAGTGCACGGGTCATGTAGGAAAATATCCTCCGTCCAGTGCTAGCATATTTAGGAGTGAAATAATACAATGCCTGCAACTTTCTTTAAGATGACTTCAGCAAAAAGATAGAGATAAAGAGGGGAGTGTGGAGGATGGAGAGAAATAACTGCAAATGTGGCAAAATATTAACTGGTAAATCTAGGCGAGTGAGTAACATAAGGGTACTGACTGCTACTTTTCAATTTTCAGTAGGCCTAAAAAAATTTTTTTTAAATGTTTTTATTGATTGTTTAGAGGAGGGGTGTCAAACTCAATCAGAGAAGGGGCCAAAATCTAAAATCCAGCCTAAATCACGGGCCGAATGGTTTACTGAACAGTCATAAACTGTCATTGTGATGGAAACACAGCGGAGTGCAGTGATGACAGCGCGGTGCGGGCCACATTGCAAGGCCTGGCGGGACGGATTTGGCCCGCGGGCCTTGTGTTTGACACATGTGGTTTAGAGAGAGGAAGGTTGAAAGATAGAGAGTTAGAAACATTGATGAGAGAGACATCGATCGGCTGCCTCCTGCACATCCCCTACTGGGGATGTGCCCCCAACCAAGGTACATGCCCCTGACCGGAATCGAACCTGGGGCCCTTCAGTCCACAAGCCGACGCTCTATCCACTGAGCCAAAACAGTTAGGGCAGGTCTAAAACTTGTCAAAGTAAAGTTTGGGGAGAAAAGCCCTAATCCTCAAGACGTGAATTTTTATTTCTGCTTTGAAAATGATACAGAAGTGAGTTCCACAACCATGAAATGTAGTGAAAATAGTGGTTGGGGTTTATAGACTTCAGGAAAGATAGGGCCCGACCGGCATGGCTTAATGGTTGAGCATTGATCCATGAACCAAGAGGTCACCATGAACCACATGCCCTGGTTATGGGCTCCATCCCCAGCAGGAGGCAGCTGATCAAGGTTGATGTATCTCTCTACATTGATGTTTCTGTCTCTCACTTTCACTTCCCCTCTTTCTAAAATCAATAAAAGCATATTAAAACACACACACACACACACACACACACACACACACTAAAACTCCAGATAAATGTAAGAGCATAGAAACTCACCAAAAAAGGAATTTGAAAGAAAATCAGAGAAAAGGCATGAAGAATAAAACATAACAAGGGGGGGGGGGGGGAACACACATTTTCTCAGTGAGAAGACAGAAGATATTACATAAAACATAAAAGAACAGGATGATATTTAAAAAGGCTCAGAGAACAAAACAGAGATCTACAATAGGAAGTCTAACATCCGAATGAGTTTGAGAAAGTGAGAACAAAGAAGGGAAGAAAATCAAAGACATTAAAAATACTTTTCTGAAACAGACGGACACAAGTTTCAAGATTGAAAACGCCCAGGAAGTATCCAGAAGGAAGGATGAAAGCGCCCCATATGAAAGCGTGTCACGGGGCAGCTTCAGAGCCTGGGCAGGAAGAGCAGACCCCGCAGGCTTCCATAGAAAAACAAAGACAATCTCATAAGATGAAACCACAATGGCTTCAGTGGTCAGAGCAGCACAATCGCTTCAAAAACCTGAGGAAATTATTAATTATGACCTAGAATTCTACACTATGGAATATATGTTAGTGGGGAGGATAAAATAAGGATGTTTTCAGATATGCAAGCCTCTAAAAACGTTACAATCCCACGATCCTTTTTAAAAAAGCTCCTAGACAATGTAGGCCATCCAAACATCCCCTTTGTAAGAAGGCAGGTTTCTCTAGGGAATTAAACACTGACTTTCTGCCAGTTGTCAGATCCACCTGGCAGTTCACGAACACAAATGCTGAAGTGAAATTTTACATGTGGCTGGACAGCTGTTAAGAACTCATTAGGAAGCAGAGGCATTTAAGACGAAGGGACTTTAACATGAAGCTCCATGAAGAATGGTTTTGAAATGTTTGCGTTAGAAAGATGTTTGGCTTCGTGGAAGCCTGTTTAGTTTTTCAGAAACGTGCACACATATGCACCTTGATTAACCCGGGTCACCCACAGAAAATTAATGAAAAAAATGTATACCTCACTTTTTAGAGTTCACTATTGGAGTCACAAGGAAACCTGTTACATACGGGGAATGCAACACTGTGTATAAAACTTGCTTATTGTTTGTAAGTGCTTACTGTTCACTGATTAACCTTAGAGCCACTGTAGAGTGATTACCTAAGAAAAATTAAGTGTGAGGATAAGGTTCTTTTCTCTTCACCCAAAAGCATCACTCCTGATACAGCATATTTCAACTGCTGGTTTGACTTTGTCCCTAACTTCCATCCCAACAAAATCACAAGCCCTGTATTCACTGGCAGAGTTGTAGTCACCTACAAATCTCTAGATACCCCGAAAATCAACACCGCTTTGATTTTTTAAAAAACTTTCTCTTCTCATATTGGTTTCCATATTGTGCTCTACCATGTCCAGCATGCCTGGCCCCCAAACCTTGACATGAGTTAAGGTTTTGGTGTTTGAAAAACACAAATTCATGAAAAACGGGCTTAATGTTCTGCTTTTGAAGAACAGATATTTTCAAATTGATACAAACATAAGAACTATATGAGGCTGCCTGGCACAGATGCCCCGAGGGCCCCCGAGGTGCCTGGGAGCACCCGGACCTGAATGGACCCAGGGGGTAGGGGCTGTGGGCCCCCCCCACCCCGAGGTAAAGGCTGGGGCTTTAGCATTTCCTGCTGGTGAGCTGGGCGCTCAGGTCCAGGAGGGAAAATGTCTACAGAGGGTGCGTGTTCTCTCCAGAGATGCTTCTAGTTGCTTTTCACGAGCCCTGCATCGCTCATCACTTCCTATCAGCAATGTAAGCAAGATTCCTGAGAAAATCAAAGGTAACATCTACCTAACGCTGTCATCTAAAACAGGAGTGGTAGAGAGGAGGCATTGGCTTAGACCCAGCTCAGCAGCTCTCCCCAGAGTAAGTGAGGCAAAGGCTGTTGAGTAACTACACCAAATGCGAGAGCCCCGACCACTTTCTGCCTCCTGGAGTCATGCCGGAAGGAACCCAATGTGTTATTTCCTCCTCTCACCGGTGACCTTTCTGCCCTCCTTGTGTTCTAGAGTCTCAGCAGTATTCATTGCCACCACTCACTCCCAAAACCCCCAGGGCAGAAAGAAAAAGTACATACGTACCTTAAAATCTGTATTATTGATATATTCAAATACCAAAGCTGGTGTCTTTGACTGCAAGAAAAAAAATATATGATTATTAAGTATTCAAACAATAAGTATAATTTCTTCTGTGTACCTGCCCATTCTCAAATCCCACTTAGATGAAAAAGATTCACTCCTCAGGGAGAGACTAGCAAGAAAGTATCCTCTTGAAATGCTATGCCTGGAACTTGCTTCAAAATAACAGGATGGTGGGCACTGGAGGTGGGGAAATGGGTGGGGGGTAAGGATGGAACAGAGTTGGCCAGGAGCTGACTTAGTGCTAAAACTGAGTGCTGTATGCAGGCAGGTTCATGCGATTACTCACTTTACTTTTGTAAATGGTCAGAATTTTTCATAAGAAAGCTGTTTGTTTCGTTTGTTTGTTCTCTGACCAACCTGTCCACTGGGCCTGGCACATTATTCGAAGATTTATTCTCTTGAGGGTTTCGGTTTGCCAGCTGTGAAAGGAGTGACATGTTTTCATCTTGGTCTAGCGAGCCAGACGCGTTTTATAGAATTATCATAGGTCTTGGGCCTCTAGCACAGGTCTTTTCAGGATCCGAAAGGAAATTATGTATAATTATCAGAAAGCCACAATGTGAAATTACTTCCTCGAGTATTTTGAAAGCACTATAATCTTCGATGCAATGGGTACAAAATAGTCAATATTTCCTTGTTGTAAACAGATCTTCAAATGTCCAGTTTACTTCAGTGAGGTGAAATAATGTGAATGGGCAGTAATAAGCTTTCGGAATTGGGAGAAAGGCAGGGGCTTAAAAGCATGATGGGAAGAAACCACCATCCTAGAAATCCTTCCAGCCGGGAAGTTTTGCCGAAGGAAGCAGATGGAAGTTACCTAGGAGACGGGCCACAGAGCACCCACATGGGCCTGTGCCAGGATGAGCAGCGGTCCCGGCAAAGGGTCCTCACCAGCCCACGCTGAGAGGGTCTCACCACCACACCTCTCTGCCGGTGGGGGCGGGGGGTTCCCCGATTGTTTCGTGCACTTCGATTTACTGGTTACATATGTGTAACACACACACACACACTCTCACACACTTTAACTGATTACAAAAACGATGAGACAGCTATCACCAAACTCCGTGTCAATCCGAGCTGATCAGACGGAGATATATTTGTGCCAATTAGATGGGATCTAGAATAGGACCATCCTTCTCAGTCTTCCCAGGGACCAAAGTAAAAAGCTTTCCTTAGTCTTCAGTTCAACAGCCCTGTGTGATGTTGGGCAAATTATTTCACTTCTATAGACTTATCTTATCTGCAGTGTGACAATGCAGACAACAACAGTACCTATCCCCCCCACCCCCCACCCCCTCCGACTGCTGTGAGGATTACATGATGAGATAGTGAGACACTCAGAACAGTGCTGGCACACGCATGGCCGCTACCACAGTGTTACGAGGATGTCTTCAGCAGAGAGAGCGAAGACAATAACTCAAGCTATCCTGGGAGAACTGGAATATTGCGGTCCAGCAGGTGGAGAGCAGAAATGGGGTGGGGAGCGATACCAAAAAAGCCTTAGTTAATAATAAACACTTAAGGCTTAGTCACTCCCAGGAAGAAACCAAAAAAGTAAACAGCACCACCAAAATGGCTCAGAATTAAGCATTTTAACAAAAATGTCTCCGATGTTTCTGGAATACAATGTGCCCCTCACAGGGGATGCTGAATTAAAGCAGCATGAGAACCAGCAAGCTCGCCCCCTCGAAGGTCAGTGGGCCCGGGACAGGCTCAGCGCTCTACGCCAGGCGTCCACGTGGAGATTCTCAGTACTTCCCTCTGACCCCAGGTTTTCCATGGGAGGCAAAATAATGCGGATTGGTAGGATTAGGGAGAAAAACAGGGTCTTAAAGGAGATAGTCGGCAAACATTTGTAAACTGAATCAGGACAACGAGGTAATCAGGTCCCATTTCCTTAATATCTAGGATCTGAAATCAGCAGGGATTTGCCTATCTGGCAGACAGTTAGGGTCTATGGAAGTGGCCACTAGGGCCACTCTGGGCCACCAGGATTATTTTTTCTGGTTTTCAAAATCATCCTCACTACATAATATTTCTCTGTATTTTAGGTTCTCTCTCTCTCTCTCTCTCTCTCTCTCTCTCTCTCTCTCTCTCTCACACACACACACACACACACACATACACACACACACACACTCCCTCTCCCCGCACCAGCAGGCACCTACCACAGGGTCCTTCACGGTGTCAATCAGCTTAATGATATTTGTTCCACCACGAAGGTTCTCCAGAATCTTCACTTCTCGTTTTATCTTCTTTTTCTTCACTGGCTTAAATACACAAGAGTAATCAGAAGTAAGACTCCCTTGAAAATTATTAAAACTTTAAAACGACGTTAGCGAATCAAATGGATAGGGCACTGTCTTGTACACTGGGTATGTGAAAGAGCACGTCTAAATTAGAGAGAGAAAAACATGGAGATAGAATGGATCTGCCCATAAGAACTTACAGGAGTAAGTTAAACAATTTACAGACTTACAGCTTATGGCAAATCTTTAAGTAGGGCACTTAAAATTTTTGAGCACCATGTCATACTTTAAAAATAAAAAGCTTACTGGGTTAACTGCCAAGTGGAAAATGTTATAGCTCCGAACAGCTGTATATCATGCACCCGCAAATGGAAAAACTTAAAACAAAATGGTGAGACACCTGCTCTTCCAATGAGTTACATGTAATTTTGTCTTCCAGGAGCAAAGACCAGTTCCCTGACATCAAGTTACAAACTTGTTTCCCAGCTGCTGGCTCCCATTTCCTGTCGCCACTCCCATTTCCTTAATATCTAGGATCTGAAATCAGCACAGAGCCAGCAACAATTCCCTGCACATCCCATTCCCAAAGAAAGATGATGGATCGGCAATAGTGATTGAAAACCTCTGCTACTGCTTATCTTTCAATCTGCCAGACAGGAAAGTTTCAAGACTTTAATCAGAAATACTGGCATTACATGTTACTTCTCTTTTTCTTTTTAATATATAAATATATATATATATATATATATATATATATATATATATGTATATATATATATATATATTTTTTTTTTTTTTTTTTTTTAATTGATTTCAGAGAGGAAGGGAGAGATAGAAACAGCAATGATGAGAGAGAATCATAGACTGGCTGCCTCCTGCATGCCCCCTCCTGGGGAGGATCGAGCTTGCAACCCGGACATGTGCCCCTAGCCGGAATCAAACCTGGTACCCCTCAGTCAGCAGGCCAACGCTCTATCCACTGAGCAACACAGGCTAGGGCACACATGTTGCTTCTTATCTTGAGTGGGCTAAAGAGTTTGAAGAAGGAAAATAAGCATATCGCAATCAACAAGTTTTATAAAGCACTTGGCACAGCACTGGCACATAGTACACACCCAATAAATGCCAGCTTTATTATTTTCAATCTTGTAGTTAGTAATATTTCATCTTCACAAAACTCCCATGTAGTAGATCCAGCCACGCTGAGCTATCTGCCCAAGGGTCACACGGCTCAGAGTAAAGAGTGAGGGCAGGAATCACACCCAGACAGTCTGACTGCAGGTCTCACTGGCAGCCACTGTGCTTCCATTTCCCCAGTGTGGCTGCATAACTAGCATAACTTAGGAAAAGGGGCATTCCATCACCGAGACACTGTTACAACAGCCCGGGCAGAGGGGCCAGTGGATTGGCCATGAAACAAGATATTAAAAGCCTGTGTGTGTGTGTGTGTGTGTGTGTGTTGGTGGTGGTAGTGGTGGTGGAGGGGGAGGATATAATACACGTATCAGAGAAACCTCCATCTATTGTTGGTCACTAAGCTACAGCTCTGAACCAAACAGAGAGGGAGATTATGAAACACGGAGCATGTGCAGCACCTACAAACGCGGTGTGAGAGACTGGATCTCGCCGCATCCTTCCATGGCAGCTGCCAGCAATCGTGCCCATCCACTCTGCCAGGATTCCCAGCAGACTGGCCACGGTGTCCCTTCCCCACCTCCACTGAGCCATCTTCTTCCTCATTCCCAGTTTCATCATTAGGGGCTCAACTCTGGGAAAATGAAGCTTTCAAACCTGAAGCCACAGAAGGACCTTCTACAGAGTAAGTAGTCTGAACAACTGTTCCCGACTAAAAAGATAAGACAACTGAATGCAACACATGATCTGGGATTTTCTTTTATATAAAGAACATATAAGAACAACTGATAATTGTGAATGGGGACAAAGTTAGCTAACAGCATCATACCAATGCTAATTTCTGATTTTTGATTCTGGCACTGTGGGTTATGTAAGAAGTTGTCCTTGATTTTAGAAACACACACAAAAGGAAGGATGATGGCAATTTACTCTCAAGCACTTTTAAAAAATAAGTAAAATAAGTATAAATACACACACAGAGATGTGTGTGTGTTTGCGCACGCATGTATGAAAGAGAAGAATAAAGCAAATGTTAACATTTGAGAAATGTGGGTGAAAAATATATAAGAATTCTTGCAACTCTTCTGCAGGTCTGAAATTACGTCAAAAAGTTTAAAGAAAAACAAAGGCTAGTTATCATCATCTATAAATTCTGCCAATGCTACCAGTACAGTCAATGTAAGAAAATTCTAGTTTTGTCATCCACTTGAGGAAAGCAATCGCAGATCTGTGGGAGTGGTAACAAGAAACAAGACAGACAAAACCACGACAGGCCTGGCTGGGTGGCTCAGTGGGTTGGGGTGTTGTGCCGTACACAAAAGGTTGCGGGTTCAATTCCTGGTCAGGGCACATGTGGGAGGCAACCGATCAATACTTCTCTCTCACATTGAGATTCCTCTCTTTCTAATATCAATAACAACATATCCCCAGAAGAGGACTAAAAATAACAACTCTGAAAAAATCGGCCACAGCCAGAAGCCTGTATACACCAAAGCCCTCCTTCCTACCGGTGAGCTGTGCAGGGTGACCATTAATGAGCTTTTATCCTGGTGCCACATGCAGAGCTTTGCTTGGCTCTCCTATTATTCAGCAACAGGTCAGACAGGCACCTTGTTCCTGGGCAAGATGGAGATCTCTCTCATTCTGTCTAAAGGTAACTTACAGAGCACGCGAACATAGTTTGCGGCTCACATGTCACCTGTCTAACAGCTTCTCAAACAGGAGGCTGGGGACGGCAGGGCGGAGTCACACAGCAGCTGGAGGCCTAGCCTACTGAGAGAACCAGGGGATTGTGAAAAGCAAAGTGACCTCCAGCCCAGGGCATGCCCTCCACAGGAACCGGACACAGGTGACACCCTCCAGCCTCAGCACAGTCCCCGGAACCTGGGAGACGCTGCAGAAGCTACAGAACCAACGTGCTCTGAGGGAGGGAAAGCGGTCACTTCAATTCTACAAATAGAACTGGAGAGAGACAGAGGGGATTGGTGAGGGGGCACCCTGGCACCCTAAGGAAAGCAGATCATGAGTTTTACAGGAATGAGGATGCTCTGCCTCTCTAGCCCAGTGTTCGCACTCATTCACCGTCAGTAACAGCCCGGGGAGAAAATACATCCATTTCCCATGACAATCTCATCATTTCATCTCGCAGGCTAGAAAGTCTCTCCCAACTAAGGTTCATTTATTACAAGACCAAGATTATGAGTTTAAAAGACTCTAACTGATTTGTAATATTTTAAACAATAAAAAAGAAAGAAAAAAGATTCTAACTGAATCAGCTTAGCTATTTTCCAAACAACAAAAATTTGGTTTTTTACTCAAAGTCTAGTAGAGAAAATGACACATAGCTTTCAAAAAGAAATACAGTATTAACTTAAAGCTTCAAAATAAATGAATTTTGGCACACACCTAGAGAGAATATTTAACGGGAAAACTAATGTAAAATTTTCTGTACATAAGCTCTGAAAATGAAGGAAGGAAGGAAGGAAAGAAGGAAAGGGGGGGAGGGAAGGAAGGAAGGGCCTTTTCAGGTTTCTGCCCACACGGTGAAGAGTCCCAGCTATTTAGAACCTTGTTTGATGTAATCCAAGACTAAGGTACTTTTTCTCTATCCCTATGTACCAACACTACCAAATTTTAAAACAAAAGACACGTTTAGTAACAGCATACTTGGAAACACAAAAGTTGACAGTAATCTCTCCTATTTCGTTACTCAGAGCTACTTTTTAAAAAGCCAGGCCCTAGCTGGTTTGGTTCAGTGGTTAGAGCATTGGCCTTTGGACTGAAGGGTCCTGGGTTCGATTCCAGTCAAGGGTATGTATAATATTTTGGTTGTGGGCTCAATCCCCAGAAGGGGGCATGCAGGAGGCAGCGGATGGATTCTCTCTCATCATTGATGTTTCTATCTCTTCCGACCTCTCTGAAATAAATAAAAATATTTTTTTTTAAAAAAGCCAGATTTGAGCCGAAACCGGTTTGGCTCAGTGGTGGAGAGTCGGTCTGTGGACTGAAAAGTCCCGGGTTCGATTCCGGTCAGGGGCATGTACCTTGGTTGCGGGCACATCCCCAGTAGGGTGTGTGCAAGAGGCAGCTGATCGATGATTCTCTCTCATCGATGTTTCAAACTCTCTGTCCCTCTCTCTTCCTCTCTGTAAAAAATCAATAAAATATATTAAAAAAAAAAAAAAAAAGCCAGATTTGAGAATGATTTCAATTATTAGCATTTAATTATGATTGAACTAGAGGCCCGCTGCACAAAATCTGTGCATGGGGGCAGGGGGGAGTGGGTACAGGCCTGCCCCTCAGCCCAGTCAGCCTGCACCCTCTCGCAGTCTGGAGGCCCTCAGGGATGTCCAACTGATGGCTTAGGCCTGCTCCCCGAGGCAGCTGGACATCCTTAGAGCTGTTGCGGAGGCAGGAGAGGCACCCGCCACCTCCGCAGCACTTGCTAGCCCTGAGCTCGGCTTCTGGCTGAGTGGCTCTCCCCCTGTGGAAGCACACTGACCCCGGGGGGTAGCTCCTGCGTCCAGTGTCTGCCCCCTGGTGGTCAGTGTGCATCATAGCAACCAGTGGTTCTGCCATTCAGTCAATTTGCATATTAGCCTTTTATTATATAGGGTATGTACACTAACATCTACCATCAAAGGTATAAGAACAAATCCCAGCAAATACTAATAGGTAAAGTTCCATTTTAACGTCTTCACATTTCAAATTAATTGATAAATTCAAGACAGACAGGACTCCAGCTCAGAACCTCCAAATCTGGATTTACTTTTTTATTCCATTACCAAAGCAATGATTGCCCCACCAAGTTACGAATTTCATCATCTGCAATAAGAAATTATGAAGAACACTGGCTGCCAGGAATGCAGGATGAAGGAAGGAAGGAA